CGAAATGCAGTGAATCTAGCCACGCGGCACCTGATGCGGGATCCCGTTGACAGCCCTCTTACATGTGCACAATGCAATAATTATAGCCACGTGGCACCTGCACTCCTAATCGACACATAGCACTATAGGCTTCCCACGTGTCCCTGTTGTCGTGTCCGGTCCGTCTTCCCGCGTCAACAGCCTAGTTCCTCAACACCCTAGTCATTTTGATTATGTCGACTTTAGATAGTCTGACCTCATCTCCTTATATGCACAGCAACAACCCAAATATTTTTCCTCATATCCTCACGCTTCTCAGACGACTAGAGTAACGACACGTGGCATCCCGCTTGTCCCTCCTACTGTGCCCGGTCTGTCCGTCCCCGCCATGAGAGCGATTGTGGGCAGCTGCCCCCTCAGCCCTGCAAACCCGCTGCGGCAACCATCACAAGCAGCGCGTCCCCCCGCAAGCCGCTCACATCTGTTTGCTTGACAAAGAATCAAACATATAGATATTGATTGATTGGCTGGTTGGTTAATGGATGATTTAACCCGTGTCAACGAACAAACCAACCAACCAATCAACCAATCAATAAATCAAGGTTTTGGGTTGCTTGTTGCGGTTATCAGAGCTTGGTTTCCATGGGGTGGGATAGATGGATGGATGGACGGATGGAAGGGATGACGGAGGGATGGACAGAGGGACAGACGGAGAGACAGACTAATGTGGAGAGAGAGAGAGAGAGAGAGAGAGAGAGAGAGAGAGAGGTTCTTTGCAATCCCTTTTGTGCCTATAATCGAGAGAGAGAGAGAGAGAGAGAGAGAGAGAGAGAGAGAGAGAGAGAGAGAGAGAGAGAGAGAGAGAGAGAGAGAGAGAGAGAAAGAGGTTCTTTGTAATCCCTTTTGTGCCACGATTATAGGCGCTGAAGTCCTTCTGCTCGGAACTTTGCCCTGAGTGGTTGAGTTAATTCACAGGCACTCTATGTCCTCATGGACTCAATGCTTGTGTCTTTTGATCTTTCTCCCTTGTTTGTTTGCATGTTGCCTTGCACAAGGCATGGACTGTGGCGTTGGGGACCAGACGGAGGACAATGACATCCTGAAAATAAAATCTTCCTGCCAAACTGACACCCTGGGTTGTGCTTATGCTTTGAAATCACTCTGTTTGGCTGATTTTGTTTCGCATAGCAAAGCCTCACTGGCTGGCTGCCTATTTGTCTTCTGTTGTCTGTCGGGGTAGGCAATGCATGTAATGCGGAGGCATAATCCAGACACAGCGCAGGCAAATATGGACAAGAAAATCACAGAGAAGATAGAGGAGGTCAAGCAGCGAGTAAGCGCTCAGGTGTGTGATGAATTTTTTGTGCTTGGCTTTTTTTTTGAGGACACCCCCTGGTTATTTAACGGTATTTACCTGGAACAAATTCAAACATGTTTGAGCTTGACCGTCATGTTCTTATGTCTGAGTTGGCCTGCAAGATGGGATTGTCCTTCAGGTTGCCAAAGATTGCGTCAATGACTCGGGAAGAATGAACCACTCAATTTTATTTCTTGGATGCTGCAAGAGCATTTAGAACGAACTAGAAAAAAATACCTTCAAACAACGTGACTGCGAGGCCACTGCCTCTAAGAGCCTCATAAGGCCCCAATTTTGCAGCCCGTCAGCCGCCCTAAGTGAAGGTAGTCTCGACGAGGCCCTCAGGGCCCTTTTCTGGCCACCACGCAACTCAGGGAAATTCAGGCCGTTGCGCAGCGCCAGTTGGTTGAGTGAACCCAGGCCCTGGGCCGCCTGTGTRAATGAATGTGAAGCAGGCCCTGAGCTGAATACGGGTACCGGGCCAAACCCTGGCCAAAGCCAGTTGGGCACAGAACCACCTCAGGCCCAAGGCCTGCTTTCGACGTGCTGGGCCTCAGGCTACTGGCGCCTACTGGAAGCTTCCTGGGACTGGACGCAGGCAGGCCACTTCGATATAGGGAAGGGCCTGCCTCCTCGTTCGGGATTCGGGTGCTGGCTGCATGCTGCGCAAGCGCTGCTGTGCTATTTGCTGGCTGGCGCCTACGCTCTCACGGGCGAGCAGGGAAGGAGCACGCAGCCATAGTCGAGCTGCGCTGCTGTAAGCAGGGTGAAGCGCAGGGTTGTCCTTGGGTGCTAGTGGCATCTATGAGTTGGGGAACGAGGTTGTGAGTGTAGCGTGAGACAAACCTGGTGCTGGAAGCGTGTGACATTGGTCGCCATATGCTCGTACTTCGGGAATGCTGTTGACGTCATCTTTCGGCTTCGTAGTATAGGCTAGATAGGATCTGCCACATGTAGTCTGGTCGCCGAGCGCCAGATAGGAGATCAACTCTGGTTCTTCGTTGATGATGATGGGACTATTTCAGCATTGTCAATTATGAACTCTTGGTGTGTATTCTGCTGTTGGTTCGAGGTCAAGACTATCTGGATTCATATGTATGATGCTGTTTGATTGCTGAAGTTCGCTATTGCTCATCTTCCTTGCAATTTGGTATCGGAGCTGTGGTACGATTGCGCTCATCTAGCGCTTGTCTTCTGCCTTATACGGTACATACATGCGGTCTGCTGGGCGATTTTGGCCATAAGTGGTGTGTAGTGAGGAGGGCGGAGGCGAGTATTGTAGGCGACCCAGGAGGTGAGGGGATAGCCAGGAAGGCTATAATGTGGTCTGGACAGTGTGATGAGAACTATCTAGTGTGCGATTGATGCTGATGTGGAACGGCGAGATAATGCTGGTTGTGCCGATGCAGTGACTGGTCATCGCAATCGCCATTTGGTAATCTGGTGAGATTATCTCTGTGGTTGGGGGCAGCTATTTGAGGTACGTTGCTCTAAACCTTATCTACCCTCTTCGACACTTCTTACCGTGAGGTTGTGTGTTCCTTCTTGAGAGTCCTCTCATTGTGAGGTGTCGAGTGCGCTCAACCTTGAGAGTCGGCAATGTTCAAGTGGAGCATCTGGGTGGAGATGGGCGGAGTTTTCTGAAGGGCCCTGGACGAAGCACTGGGTCACAATCACCATGCCAACCCACAGGGAGTAGAGCACGCATGCCTTGCTGCTTGTCCGTTGTTCGGCTTGCTGCGTTGTTAGATGGGCACTACTGGGCAGGCCAGCCCTACAGGAAAGATGAGCTCCCGGCGTCTATAAATAAACACGGGAAGGGGATATCACTGGCTATGATCGTCGTCCTGCTGCGACGTAAAATAATTCCTGATATCACTTGGGGGCGGACGTTAAAATGCCTCTGGATCAGCCAGTAATGTAAGGCTCGCAGCACGCCGAGGATAATATACGTGCAAGGCTGGGCAGCTCAGTGGATACTCGGGGCACACACACCCTTAGACACGCGACGCTCTCCAGATCGCTTAGGGACGCTGGCGTCAAGAGATACTCAGGGGAACTAAGGGAGGGGTTGATTCCATATGATAAGTTCGAGAAAATTCCTTGCTGTCCTATCCACACAAGTGATTCTATTTTTATGTTTTTGATGAGTTAGATGTACTGCCATTGACATCTGACAGACAACATTAGTTAGAACTGTTTATTGTTCCTGGTGCTTCTGTTTGCGTACTAGTCACACTAAAAATAATTTCAGTTTTAGGAGTCTGACTTACCTGTTGACCTCAAGTGATATATGTTCCGAAATAGCCACCAACTAATTAGTTGGTCTGTGCACTATGTTGCGGTAGACATCTTGAATGATCTAGTGTAGACAGTGCACAGTGTTGTAGCCTATGAGCGACGAGGAGGACATCGGAGAGGACGACCAGAGGATCTTGCGATCAGGTAGACGCCCGATAGCCCACGTGTCCTTAGGACCGGAGGGTGATAGGATTCTGTTCTGCTGGCTTAGGGAGAGAAAGCAGCAGAGGAGGGCTAGAGCAGCCGAGGCCAGCAGAACTTTAGTTAGCGAGGCCAGTGCTACAACAACCATGGTCACTTCTGCGCAGCAGACTACCCAAGCCAGTAGTTCAGGTGTCATCGGGTCAACGGTCGCGCAGACCGTGAGCCAATCCACTGGCGTTATGGCAAGCCTGGCTGCGGTGTTGACTCCAGAGGATGTCGCCATCCAGCAGGCAGCCCTGCAGGAGGCACAGCTACAGCGGGCATTAGGAGAGATAAAAGCGGAAAAGGAAAAGATGAGCAGAAGAAGAGCCAGGATGCAGCGGAGAGGGGCAGATATAAAGGAGTTAGAGACGATGGACCTGATGCATATGGATGATGATGTGAAGGTAGTTAGGAGGGCCCTGCTAGGCGTAATAGAGATGCAGGAGCATCAAACTACCATCCTTCAGGACATTCAACACAGCCTAGCCGTTTTGGCAGGCCGTGCTCAGGCAGCACCGTCACTAGCCGGGCCTGGTGCCTGACCCATGCCATATCCTCCTTTTTCTGTCTCACCGATGACAGGGGTATCCCCATATGTAGCCCCGTCATCGGTTGCTATCATTTCCCTGGGTATGCCGCTGTCAGAAGGGGTAATAGCAGGGAGTAGTTTGCAGATTCCTGTTCAGACAGTGTTCACTCAAAGTCCGTCGCAGGTTGCAGTCACCACGCAGCCTGCTGTCTCGCAGCCTGTGCAGCCTCAGGGCATGCAGCCCCAACAGCTAGCACAACAACCTGTGTCACCGGGTCCACAGCCCGGAGTGATGCAGGGACCGGGACAAACTTAGTGGGAAGTGCTTGTGGCTGCTTCCTACCTAGAGGGTAGTGCAGCAAGATGGTTGAGTGGTTTAGTACAACTCCAGGGGTATGGTCATGACTTCCGCGCTTGGGCGGCCTCTCAGAAATTGGAGGACTTCCTGAAGATGGTGGACGAAAGGTGGCATGATCCTCAGGAGGCCCAAAGGGCCACTGATGCGATCCTGACACTGCACACAAGGCAGTTTAAGTCAGTAAGGGAAGCCACCCACGCTGCTGAGCGTCTGATCTGTGTCCCAGGGGTGCGCTATGATCCCCAGGTCCTGTTGATTTCGTACTTGAGATGCTTTTCTCGGCCTCTCAGGAACCAGTTGGCAAAAGAGGCCAACATCAATATGCACAACTTTCCTTCGTTCAGCAAGGTGGCTCTAGACCTTGAAGCTAAGATAGGGCATGGACAGGCACCCACTACGGATGGAAGGAAGAAGACACTGCCTCCTAACTGGAAAGCGAAAGGTCGCTTGATGTTTGTCGACAACGATGGTTCAACCATCGAGTTGGACGACAACTTCCAGGAGGGAGTAGGTTCAGAGGCAGGCAGCGTAGACGCTTCAGAGGGTGGAGTAGTCGCTGCCGTATCTCAAAAAGGAAAGGCGACCGGTAGACGCCGTGGAGGCTCCTGGTCTAGGAGTCAAGTTGACCCCAATGCTCCTCCATGGGAGAAAGCGGGTCTTACAGAGAACGTGTGGAGAGACGTTACTCACGGCACGCTGTATTCGTTGTGGTCAATATGGCCACAACCAATTCAAGTGCCGCAACAAGAAAGTGACAGAAAAGATCCCGCCTACGATGGGCCAAGTATTGGGATCCTCTCAACCCGTTGGTAGCAATGTTGCCAGTACTTCAGGCAGTGCTCCGGGAAACACGTCGGGCCAGTAGGAATAGTAGTTGTTCCTGCTAGGGTCGAGATCGTGGTGACACCCTCACCATCTCGAGAGATGGCCCAAGCTACTGAGCCCAGCGTCGTCCCGCAAGCACATTCAGACCCATCGAGCCTCAGTTCGATGAATGTGTTTGAGTCCTTAGAGGAGCTAGAGGTGGAGTGGTCTAGATCAGACCCGTTAGCTTCTTGGACGGCACTAGTCAAAGCCCCGACGGGTGAGATATTCGTTAGCGAGGTTGTCATTGGCAGCCGCAAGGCCGGGGCCTATTATGACACTTGCTCGACACGGAACTTTATTAGTTGCGCGTGCGTTGAGAGGCTGCGTCTACAGGGGCAAGTGCAGCGCCTGAGTCGACCTGTGGAGTCGACCTGTGCCAACAAACAGCGCATGGTAGTCAATAACTACCTCCAAAATGTGGATTGTGTTTTCACGTACGCGGGAGGGGATTTGAGACATCGTGTCTTGTTCCTAGTAAGCGACAAACTCCCCATGGATATGCTGTTAGGTACGTACTACCTCTCTGTGGCACAGCCCCAGTTTGACTGGGACCGAAAAGTGGTCAAACACACTTTGCCAGGTGGAGGGACCGCCAGATTACACAAGTTCAAAGCTAATAGTCTGATTGAGTCCTACGGGCGCATGTGTGCGGCCGCGTTCTACAATTATTAAAGCAAAATCAGGAGGAGGGTATGTACTTAGTCTATGTCTCTGCTGCAGGCGAGCCGGTGAAAATGCCGCCGGAGATAGAGGGAGTAGTTGCTAAGTACCCTGATCTATTTGAAGAGCCGATAAGGGTTGTTGAGAGGGAGGTCGTCCACGCGATAGAGATTATCCCAAGGTCTAGTATTCCGAAGGGTAGGATATATCGGATGTCTCCATGCGAGATTGATGAGCTCTGCCGCCAACTCAAGGAACTCGTAGAGAAGGGTTGGATCCGGCCGAGTGTCTCTCCTTATGGGTCTCCAGTACTATTCGTACCTAAGAAGAAGGAGGGTACACTTAGGATGTGCATTGACTATAGGGGCCTCAATGCCATCACTGTAAAGAACTGAGAGCCCCTACCGCGCATCGATGATCTGTTAGATAGAGTGCAAGGGTGTCGGTACTTCAGTAAGATAGATCTGAAGTCTGGGTACCGTCAGATTGCAATCCGGCCCGAGGATCAACACAAAACCGCCTTTCAGACCAGGTACGGTCTGTACGAGTTTGTGGTGATGCCTTTCGGCCTTTGCAATGCTCCTGGCACCTTTCAGCACGCTATGAATCAGATATCACATGACTACTTGGATAAGTTTGTCATCGTGTACCTCGATGACATACTTATTTTTAGTAAGACTGTCGAGGAGCAAGTTGCACATTTGGACAAAGTTCTCAGTCTCCTGCGACAGCACATGTTCAAGATCAACGGTGAGAAGTGCGAGTTTGACCGCACCCGTGTCTTGTACTTGGGTCATGAGATCTCCGCGGAAGGGTTGAAGCCCGATGACGCGAAGGTGGCCAGCATTCGTGATTGGCCATGTCCTCAGTCTGTGACTGAGATGAGATCTTTCTTAGGAATGACAGGCTACTATAGCACTTTTGTTAAGAATTATAGCATAGTGGCCGCTCCTTTGACTGATCTGACCCGCCTTGACACCCCATGGGAGTGGACAGACGAGTGTGAGGCTGCTTTTAGACATCTGAAGCATGCGTTGACGCACTACGAGGCCTTGAAACTTCCTGATCCTGACAAGCCGTTCATAGTCACCACGGATGCCAGCCAATATGGCATTGGCGCCGTGCTCGCGCAGCAGGAGGGGCCAACGTTGAGGCCAGTCGAGTACTTGTAAAAAAAGATGCCGTCTCAAAAGTTGGCCAAGTCCATCTATGAGAAGGAACTCTACGCCGTGTACAAGGCTCTGACGCATTGGAGACACTATCTCCTTGGGAGATTCTTCATCCTCAGGACTGATCATCAGACCCTGAGATGGATGAGAACTCACCCCGTACTTTCTTACGCTATGAAGCGTTGGATCGAAGTCATTGAGCAGTATGACTTCGACCCCCAGTATCTCAAAGGGTAGTACAACAAGGTGGCTGATGCCTTGTCGTGAGACCTAACTTTTCAGGTGCGCTGATTACTGAGTTCGACCTCATGCACGATGTAACTCGCTCTTTGGTGGATGCCTATCGCGAGGATCAGTTCATGTCGGAGATCATACGCAGACTCGAGGCGAAGGACAAAAAGACCTCCGCCGAGTTTGAGTTGGTCAACGGTTTGCTGTTTCTTGAGAAGGCCGTGAATAAACGGTTGTGCGTCCCAAATAGAGAGTCTTTGCGTTGTTTATTTTTAGGAGAGTTTCATGATGCCACCGGCCATTTTGGGTATAAGAAGACCGCAGCCAACTTTCTGCAGCGGTTCTGGTGGCCCACGATGATGCGAGATGCTCAGCTGTATGTGGAGACTTGTCAAGTGTGTCAACGAGAAAAGCCACGTACTCAGGCTCCTCTTGGGCTTTTGAAGCCCCTTCCGATTCCGGAACGGCCTGGTGGGAGTCTGTCCATGGCTTTCATGGATACTCTGATCACCAGCAAGAGTGGGATGCGTCAAATCTTCGTCATCGTGGATAGATTTAGTAAGTATGCTAGGTTAGTAGCCATGCCGGAAACAACAAAGACAGAGTACGTGATCCGAATGTTTAAAGAAAACTGGGTTAGAGACTTTGGTTTACCCAAGTCTATTGTCAGTGACAGGGATGTCAGGTTTACTAGTGAGTTGTGGAAGGCCGCTGCTGCAGAGCAGGGCACTCAGTTGCAAATGACTTTTGGGAATCACCCAGAGGCCAACGGCCAGGCCGAGCAACTTAATCGCGCTGTACAACACCTGTTGAGGCATTACATCAAGCCCAACCAGGTGGACTGGGATGAGAAGCTTGCTCTCATCGCCAGTCTGTATAACAATGCAGTACACAGTGCCACTGGGGTGAGCCCGAACAATTTACGTCTGACTTTCAAGCCTAGACTACCCCTTGACTTTCTCCTTCCTGAGAATGAATCAACTGTTGCACCGGGTACTTCAGAGTTTGCCTACAGATATGAACAGAAAATGGAGCAGGCAGTAGAATGATGCGGAAGGCACAGGCAGCGATGATAGAGTCCGAAAACCGACACTGTCGACCTTCTACATTTCATGTTGGGGATAGGGTCTGGGTTAAGTCTTCAGAACTGGGACAGGAGTACGGGATCTCCCGCAAACTCATGCCTCAGTACTTTGGACCATGGGAAGTCTTGGACATCGTCAGGACAGATCCGGATGGGCCATCTTACGTTATCCTGATTCCTGGTCATCTCCGTACTTACCCTGTTTTTCACGCCTCCAAGCTGGCACCTTTCAAAGAGACTGACCAGTTTCCATCTCGTCGCTCAATGCTGCCCCCAAACATGGACGGAGAGGTGGACATTGATGATATCGTGGATCACAGAGAGCTGCCGGTATCAAGACCAGCAGGCAGGGGACGTCCTCCAAAACCGAAGCTGCAATACCGCGTTCGGTTCCGGCATCACACTGATCTGAAGGAGGACCGATGGTTCACCAGGGAAGAGCTCATGCAGACCGCTCCTCAAGTTGTAACTCAATATGAGAGATCTTTGCAGAAGGGAAAGTGCCCTATGATCGAAGATTGAGCTTCTCAGAGGAATGTTGAAGCTAAGGAGGAGGGAATGCGAGGCCACTGCCTCTAAGAGCCTCATAAGGCCCCAATTTTGCAGCCCGTCGGCCGCCCTAAGTGAAGGCAGGCTCGACGAGGCCCTCAGGGCCCTTTTTTGGCCACCAAGCAACTCAGGGAAATTCAGGCCGTTGCGCAGCGCCAATTGGTTCAGTGAACCCAGGCCCTGGGCCACCTGTGTGAATGAATGTGAAGCAGGCTCTGGGCTGAATACGGGTACAGGGCCAAACCCTGGCCAAAGGCAGTTGGGCACAGACAACCACCTCAGGCCCAAGGCCTGCTTTCGACGTGCTGGGCCTCAGGCTACCGGGGCCTACTGGAAGCTTCCTGGGACTGGACGCAGGCAGGCCACTTCGATATAGGGAAGGGCCTGCCTCCTCATTCGGGATTCGGGTGCTGGCTGCATGCTGCGCAAGCGCTGCTGCGCTATTTGCTGGCTGGCGCCTACGCTCTCACGGGCGAGCAGGGAAGGAGCACGCAGCCATAGTCGAGCTGCGCTGCTGTAAGCAGGGTGAAGCGCAGGGTGGTCCTTGGGTGCAAGTGGCATCTGTGAGTTCGGGAACGAGGTTGTGAGTGTAGCGTGAGACATACCTGGTGCTGGAAGCGTGCGACATTGGTCGCCATATGCTCGTACTTCGGGAATGCTGTTGACGTCATCTTTCGGCTTCGTAGTATAGGCTAGATAGGATCTGCCACATGTAGTTTGGGCGCCGAGCGCCAGATAGGAGATCAACTCAGGTTCTTCGTTGATGATGATGGGACTATTTCAGCATTGTCAATTATGAACTCTTGGTATGTTCTTATTTGGTGAATCTCGAGATGCAATTCTGCTGTTGGTTCGAGGTCAAGACTATCTGGACTCATATGTATGATGCTATTTGATTGCTGAAGTTCGCTATTGCTCATCTTCCTTGCATGAGAAAAAAAGAGAGAAAAAAAAAACAAAAACAAATTGAGATTGGAGCAGGAAGCATGAATGGAAGCCAAAGAGAGGCAGAATTCAGATGTCCTTGGAGCAGTTCACTCCAAGCCATTGAGATGCATACAAGCAAGAAACAGGCTATCCTGTTGACATGGGAATGACATGGATGGCAACTATGGGGAAAGATGCACTCAGATCCACACATCCTCCCATACTGGCAAGAAACACGGTATCCGGCTAACATGGGAAAGGCATGGATGGCAACTATCGGGAAAGATGCACTCAGATCCCCACATCCTCCCATATCCCCCCTCCCCTCTAGCTCATCCCCATCCATTGCCTCCTTCCATTACCATACCACCATCAACTGCAACCCATATGTGTTCTCTTGGCACCCAATATCTCCCTGACACTTGCCTTGTTTACGGGTTCTAATGCTCTGGGCTGGCATACATGCCCCCAAAGTCCAGCTTTAACTCACATCACGCCCGGGGCATGGTGTGAGGATGGACATAGGACAGGGTTGGAGACGCAACAGATCCACTGCTATGCAGCATCTTTCAAGAATGTGCTACAGGACATGATGTTATCCTTGATCCACCGCTATGCAACGTCTTTCAAGAATGTGGTACAAAACATGATGTAATTCTCATGCGCCTCCTAGACAACGTGCTCAAGCTCTGTGATGGACCCACCGGGATGACTGTCCGTCAAGATCAATACGAAGGGATGAGGATGGAGGAGATGGAGATGGAGCTGGAAGGGACAGTGCAGCTCCCACGCAGACTCAACACACACGTACTCCAAACTGTGCAAAATGAAGAATGAGCTGAAACAGACTGCAGCTGGGGTATACCCCCAGCGGACTGACTGGACTGGACTGAGTGAGCACACGGCCTGTGGGGTCAGGCCACGACCTGGTCCCACAGGCCGAACATACAAAATAGCCTGTTAGGCCCTGGTTGTAGGCCAGGGCAGATAGAGGCCCGCTGCACGATCCTCTACCTGTAGTGGATCACAAGAGCAAAACATCGCAAAAGCAGCGGAACTCTGCAATAAAGAAAGCTGAGAAATCTAGGATGCGGAGCAAGCTCCGTGCGGAGTCCATGCAATGCAGCCTAAGCTACATAATGTCAAATGAAAAGCAAGTGTCTGGTATACACATCCCAGCTCACAACAAAAAATGAAATGTAGCAAGATACAATCCTAAAGTCTTGAAGGTAATTGCCTCAGTGCTGAAAGGAAAAGATAGCAATGTGTCACAAGTTAATGTTGTGTCACTGAACCACTAAGAGTCACACACAAAGGTGGGGCAGGTCATCAGCCTCGGCGTGAGGGAGTGGTAGCGATGCAAAACCAATGACCCTAACAGATAGGTCATCAAGGCGGGTAATGCTTGACAAAAGGGTGACACCATGCAGGGTCGACCATGAAAGGGGAACCTGGAATAAGATGGACATATGCCTAACTGAAGGCATGCGATGATCGACACTAGGGTGATGAGGGATGCAAGGTGTGAGGGAAACATGCACACAACTCATCGACTGGGAGAGGGAACTAGATCTAGGACCAGGGAAACCAAGATAACACTACAATCATAATGTTTGTGCAATACCAATGGAGAGCCCAACTCAGAGAGACTCAACTAATTGAGAACCATCATGCGACACATGCCAGAGAATGTACAGGGTAGGGTGGTGGCGTGAAGTAGTCACGTCCAAAGTAGCTAAGGTCGATAAGGTAGCTGAGTCGTCAAAGTGGTCGATGACGTAAATGAAGGAGTCGAGTCGATGTTGAAGCAGAGCTGTAAAACGCTTACACCCTGAAGAAGTTGATGATGGAGTACTTGAAGGTGTGAATCAGTAGGAAGATAGTAGGTGATCAGAGTGTCAACTCACACCCTGAAGAAGTTGATGATGGAGTACTTGAAGGTGTGAATCAGTAGGAAGATAGTAGGTGATCAGAGTGTCAGTCGACGAGTGCGCTGTGGACACGTGGATGCATTCGTCTGCTGCTGAAGAATGGCCTCAGAGAGAGCGGGCTCGTCCTCGGCAATCTCCTCAGTCAGAGGAGGATGAAGAGGGTCAGTCAATTGAGTAGGAGCAGATGTCTCAGCACTATGAGCACAATTATATGCACACACCCCCATCCGAGCGTGCTTCAAGTGCTCGAGGGGCTCCCAAGTAGCCTCCTCATCAGGATAACCCTTCCAACGCATAAGGTACTCGATGCGTGAAGGGGTATCGTTAGTAACTCGGCGAGATACGATGTCATAAATGACGAACTCCTCGTGACCTTCCACCATGATAGGTCGAGGGCGCTCATAAGGACGTACGGCGAAGTGCTCAGACGGTCTGCGATAAGGACGGAGTAAGGAGATGTGGTATTCATCGTGTACGCGAGCCTGTCGAAGGTAATCAGGCAGCTTCACAGGGAAGCTGACCGGATTAGCAGCAGTATCAGAACCGACGGCTTGAAGGATGCGGCACATGGACTGAAGAAGTGACACTTGAACTTGTGAAGCATATCCGCTTCAAGCTCCAAGTGTCGATCGTCGACGAGCACATCGTCACTGATTTTGAACGAATGATCCACTCATGATTCGTTTCCTTGTCCGGTCATGCAAGTTTGAGAGTCGCCTAGACTCTCGTGTGTGCGCCTCATTATCACCGCCATGTGGGCGATCCAGTCGTCAAGCGCAGGACAACGAGTGTCTGGGTGCAACCGTCATGGTCGTAGGAAGTCCGCAGGTACACGAGGGTGGTAACCGAGGTCGCAATAAGAATGGCGGTATTCTCGTGGCTGACGAAACGGCGTGGTTCTACACAATCTCAGCGTGGGCCGATTGTAAGTCTCACTACTGCTCATCCCTAACAACCTTTCAGAGGATATTACCAAGAGTTTTATTAGTGGCCTCAGTCTGACCATCCGTCTGAGGGTGGTAAGATGATGAAAAGCGGAGCTGGGATCCGTACACCTCGTGTAGGCGTCGCCAGAATGTGTTGGTAAAGCACATGTCACGGTCGGAGATGATGCTCAGAGGTAGGCCATGATCTCTCAAAACTCGTTCCAAGACGATGTCGGCGATCTCACGAGCGCTAATGCGATAGCGGCACGAGACAAAGCGTCCACGCTTCGTGAAGTGATCGATGGCAATCAAGATAGCATCATGACCACACTCAGTGGGTGGGCAGAGGGGACCAACAAAATTCATCGAGCTGGACTGCCAACGACCCTCAGATATGGGTACAGGTTGAAGTAACTCATACGAAAGGTGGTTCACATTGTTCACCTCCTGGAAGGTAGGATACTCCTTCACGTAGGTTTTGATGAAGTCCTTGGACTTCAGCCAGACGTATAGGCGGCGAACATGAGCGAACGTATTGTGGAAGCCCATATGACTGGCAACTGCCTGGTTATGGAACTCTGCTACGGCGTGGACGCGGAGCTATCCGGGGGAGGGAATACAAATAGATGGTTCTAACTGACCAGATCTACCATGCCAGTACACGAGCCCATTCTCACCGAGCGAGTATGAAGGAACAATCTGGCCACACCTCAATGTCACGTGCATGTCGCGATAATCGAGACAGTGGCGGTAATGAGTGCGATATGCGTCGATCACCGATTGATCAACAATGGTGACGGAGATGACAACAAGGTGGATGGATTCCCGATTGTGATCAGAACGGCGAGACAAGGCATCGACGACGTGGTTCGTTTCACCCTTGATATGCTAAGTGGTGAAACTGAACTCGGATAAAGCACGCCACCAACGTGTCTGCCGAGGAGAAAGCTTGGGCTTCGTGAGGAAAGCCTGGACAAACGAGCTGTCCGTGCGCACCATGAAGGGTGCCCTATGCAGATAATGACGCTAATGTCGGGAAGCATAAACTATTGTGAGAACCTCACGTTCATCGGCAGTGTAGTTGTTCTCGAGAGGCAGTAAGTGACGGGAGTAGGAAGTGATCGGGCAATCCCCAACACGAGCCTCGACAGTCCCATCCTCCACGATGGTCGGGGAGTAAGTGGCTGGAGAACTGTCAGTGGAGGGAAGTGGTGGGTGGATAGCCGTCAGTCGAGAAACAATGTCAGCAAGAGGGGTTGGGAAATGGGGAACATGGGGATAAGGTGAATCAGGAGGAGAGGGAAACACCTGAGAAAGTAGAACTCCTATTGCAAAGTCTAATGCATCAGTGGTGACGATAAAGGGACAACCAAAATCATGGAGGCGAAGAACCGACACACACGTCACCGCCTTCTTGAGAGCGCGGAAGGCGTCCTCACAGAGGGGTGTCCAAAACCACGACGGGTTCTTCTGGAGGAGGGTGGAGATAAGGACGTAGGAATACCTAGCGTATCCTTGGATGAAATTACTATTGTAACTAGTCAGGCCTAGGAAATTGCGAAGCTGCTTGACGGATGTGAGGACGGGCCACTCCGCAATAGCAGTGATCTTCTCGTTGTCCATGTGGAGACCCTGGTCAGACACATGGTGTCCTGAAAAGTTCACAAAAAGTTCACTTTGCGTTGGATAAAGCGACACTTACTAAGTTTGGTGTAGAAGCCATGCTTGTGTATGCGATGTAGGACATCGTGTACGTGTCTGAGGTGGTCCTCTAAGGTACGACTGTAGACCAAAATGTCCTTTAGGTACACGAGAATGTACTCTTCAAGGATATCCCTGAAGATATTGTTCAACGCCATCTGGAAGGTGGCGGGTGCTTTGGTGAGGCCGAATGACATCATTGTGAACTCGTAGTGGCTGAAGAGCGACCAAAAGGCGGTCTTCGTTTGGTCCCCTGTGGCAACGTGGATCTGGTGGTAACCGCTAGGAAGATCGATCTTCGTGAAGAAGCGGTTGAGTGCCGGACGGTCAAACAACTCATCCGCGGGGGCGTGGGATAGTTGTTCTTAACCGTGTAATGGTTAAGGCCGCGTTAGTCAATGGAGAGGCGGAGAGTTTCATCCACTTTGCAAGCAAAGAGGACGGGTGCACCCCAATGGAAGTTACTAGATTTAATGAAACCCAATCGAAGGAGCTCCTCAAGTTGATGCTTGAGTTTCGTGACATCTCGAATCGAGCGTCGGTAGGGTGCCTGATGGTGGACATGATAGTTAGGCACGAGCTGGATAAACTGCTCAACACCTCGCTTCGGAGGGATCCTGCTCTATGAGAAATACTGAAGGGAAACATCGTTGTACTCTCGAATCAGATCACGAACGACACAAGTTCCTCAACGTCTGCGTTGGAACGAGACGTATGTGTGGACTCGACAATGGACGGCGTAGGGACTTGGGATGTGGAGGGGGTATCCATAGGCTGTGGGGTGGATGTAGAGATCGTAGCCGCAAAGATGGGGGAAGGGTCAGGGGGATGGGTCTGCAAAGAGATGAGCCTCAACCTCTGGACAAAGTGGATCATTGCGAAGAAGATCCATGACGTTCACTAAGTAGAACATGGCGTCCTCCTGACATATGAAGTGAGCAAACTGACGAGGAGAAGTGAAGGTGATGTTTGGGTGGGACCCAAAGGGACGAGGGTCACAGGGAGGTAGGTTGGGAGGGGTGCCGCCCGTGGTTCCAATGAAGGGGACTCGATGGGTCTGACCACACTTCGTTTTGAGAACGATTGTCTCGGTTGCCCATTTGACTTTTGTGCCATAGAAATGGCGAGACCAGGGAGTGCCAAGGATAATGTGGTACCCATTCTACAACTCGTCGAACTATGTGGACGAATGGTAGCGCCGAGGCGCCTGGGTACTATCCGGTGGCTGGAGGGTGAGGGAAAAGTGGAGGTCGGGGACCGTCTGATCGAAGAAGCGCTGTGTTTTGTTATCTCCGAGGGTAATGGAGATAGGAGAGTGAGACCCGGAGGTAGTTAGACGAACTTCGTCAACCATACGAGGGTGAACGAAGTCTCCCTACGAGCCGAAGTTCCATAAAGCGTGGTACATCCTCATAGATGTCCCGAAGTGGATAGGATTGATAGTGAGGGTGCGATCAGGGTCAGAGAGCAGAGCGAGAAGATGACGAGGGACGTTTACGTGCCTCATGAGTCGCTCCCGACGAGCCTAAAGAATGCTCAAATCAAGGAGAGATGACACGACGCCATCGCGAGTCCCCATCTTAGCGCTACAACGAGTTGTGTGAATTGCGCAATGCGCCGGAAGTCTCGAAGGGGAAGGACTAGATGTGGCGGTTTGTTGTGGGGCAGATGGTACCTTGATAGACGGCGGACCAGAGGGAACAGTGCCTGTCGTGTCCTGAGGATCTTCTAGTGTGGTAGCCAAAGGGGCAAACCGTGACTCGGTGGTCGGGAAGCCAGCTACCTGCGAGGCCTCAGCAGTACACTGCACCATGACTAGCTGGATGGGACTGGTCGGGCGGGGTCGGGGGGGGACTGAGATCGGCGCTGACGAGAAATGTCAGTGTCGATCGAGGGCGGCATGGTATGGACACCATAAGGAGGTGGGTCCATCCTGATGGCAACGAAGGCAACCGCGACAGGCCTCGAGGGCGGCGCGCTCCTTAGGGGATAAGGCTTCGCGAGGAGGGACGAAACCCTGCAGAGGTCTACCTGAGGGATAGTGAACGTGTGGGTGTCAACCAATGAAACCCGGCTGCGAGCACGGCCTATGGTGGACATCGTCATTTGCAAGCGGTAGCCCATCGGGACAGTGTCGTCATCCAAGTGGTACTAGGTGATATCCCGAAGCTCGAGGTCCTCAGGGTCGTCCCCAAGGGTAGGGTTAAGCTTGGTCGAGGCGTCCTCACCATACTCGAGAGAACTGTAGTGCCGAGAGAATGGCGCTTCAGGCTGAGCTGGTCGGCGAACGAGGCCGGCAAAAGAGAAATGAATGCGAATAATGTCGCGTGACTAGGTGGGGGCGGTGGATTGCGAAGAAGATGGGGCGTCGGAGGAGCGACGCCGCATCTTCTGGTATTGTCGAGCACCCTCGTAGGCCTGCTTTGTGGAGGTGAAGGTCTGTAGCCAGAGCTTGATGCGGTAGTCAGTCGGAAGATTGACGAGGAACCTGTTGGTGAGAAGGACCTCAGGTAGGAGTGCCTCATCTCAAATGAGGTAGGGGGCCTGAAACACCCGGATGTGACGCTTAAGGTCTGCTGGTGCGGAGGACCCGCGCCATTGCGTCTAGGTGACCCGATCTAAGGCGTCAATTGCGTTGTGTAGAGTGCCATAGCGGTCATGAAGGAAGGTGGTGAAGTCCGCAAAGGTGGGAGCCTCACCCGAGTGAGTACGATGGGTATAATAGTTCTCTCATGCGAAGAAAGCGTTGCCTCGCAATTTCGTTGCGAGCAGAGAGCACCACAACTCCTGACTAGTGTTTGTCAATGTTAGTGTACTTGTGGTAGCCTGTAACCAATGCGACACACAAAGTGTGTCATCGTAGTCGGGTATATCCGACAAGTGCACAAGGGGGAGACCCATGTGCTGACAGCAAGGGGAAGAGGTTGATGGGTCTGCAAGACAAAAGTGGGAAGGGTGGTATAAGAAGAAGAAGGGTGACCAGCATGTGAATGGTGAGGTTTTCTCAGGGTGAGTATCTCCGCCTGGAGTTGCGCCACAATGGCCTGTAAGGTAGTCACTCGCTGGGTACGCAGGGTTGGAGGTGGAGGAGTCGGAAAGGGTACCCTAGGGGGAGGAGGAGTAACGAACTGTAGGGAACCCTGAGGTGGGAGTGACGAGATAAGGGGAGGAGGGAGGGCTCTGGGCCGTAGTGTCAGGACCGAAGCGGGAAGCTGGTAAGCAACACCGGGACAAGTAGATGAAACTACCTCACCAGATACCGGTATCTGGGTAGCAACATCTGCGATAGTTGCCGAAGCGGCAGGGGCGGCAGGGGCCGAAGGTTGTGCCACAACAAACGGTATGGTCGGAGTGGTAGCGATACTCAGCAGTATGGAGGGGGTGTCTCGCGGAGGAGGAGGAACCACCACGTCTTCGTGTTTGGGGTCGTGGGGAACCGGCTGGGAACCGGTAAGGGATAGGGTGTGAGAGTGGTTGGGAGAGCGATGAGGAGAATCCTTGAGGCGGTGGATGTCAAGGTCGAGCGCATTGCGTTGCGCCTGTATAGGTCCAAGCGTATCGAGGCGCGCTTGCATTGGTGCGAGGAGGGTCGCGAGAAAAGTCTCAAGGTCCATAGAGGTGTGACCGAGAACTGTTGATTGTTTGAGCGCCTGAGAGGTGGTTGGCGCCGCAACGATCTCTTTGGATACGCTCGCATCCATGTGCGGTGGATGGGTGGAGGTAGACATGGCGGGCAGTGGAGAAGGAGGTGGGGAAAGAGAAGGGTTGGTGTGTGGAGAAAGAGGTCCACCAGTGAGAGGAAGAGGACCGCGGGAGCGGAGCGGGTAGTCGTGACCCAGCGAGCTCCGTGATCAGCGGGTCTCGCGTGAGAGGGTGGCGTGAAGCCGGTCGAGGGGAGAGGAGCCGTTCGGGTCCAGGGTGCCCGACCGGAGGAGGCGGGAGAGGAGGGGGTTTAGGAGAGCCCTAAGCCCTAGAAAACCCCTAAGAAAATCCTAACCGGAGTTTGGGGGGTTAGGGTAGAGCAGCGACGACCTAATCAAGAAAATAAAATAACAAATATGGAGGGGAGGGGGAAAGAAAAATAAATAAATAGTAAATTTTTGGGATAAAAATAAAATAAAATAAATAATAAAGATAAAGAAAGAAAGAAGTAAGCAAAATGTGAAGAGAGAAATAATATTTGTTTTTTTGAATTTTCGGCAACATTTCCCTATCCCCCATGGGGTCAAAAATGTGCCAAGAGAAAGGAGAGACCAAGAGAAGCACATTAAGTTTCAAAATGCCGCAAATTATAGTTTTTAGAAAACTAAATAAAAAAATAAAGAAATGAGGAGGTGGAGGAGAGTGAAGAGAAGATTATGTTTTGAAATTAAAAAAAAAAATCAGTAGCATTTCATTAGCCCAATAGGGTCGAAGTGTGGCGTTAAGAAGAATGGCCAAGTAATATGGGAAAATTTGGTCAGCACTTTGCTACCCCCAAAGAGTCAAAATGTGCTGAAAAAAGACTAAGTAGAGAAAACAGAAATTTCGGCAGCACTTCGTTACCCCCAAGGGGTCAAAATGTGCACCGGAAGCAAGAAGGACTAAGTAAAGAAGTTATAAGGGTGCCGCATAATTTTTTTTTTAATAAATAAAAATAAAAATAAAATAAAATAAAATGAGAAAGAAGTAGGGGATAAGATAATTCAAACTTTCGGAGAAAAGAAAAAATTTAAATAAAAGAGAAAGACAAAAGAAGAAGAAAAAACAGAAAAATTCAAAGTTGGGG